CTGAGCATCTGCACCAGCTATAATTCTACACGCCTCTGTAGATAATTTTCTCTTTTCGCCAGCTTCCTTAAAAATAACATCACATGACTTGTTTTTACAAGAGAATCCTCGAGTACCATTCAAGGTGCCACATTTGTGGCATCTGCGAACACCCCGCATAGTAGCCCTTCCCAAGTCCGTCAGGAAGGTAGCACGCTTGTCCTCTCGTGGCATCTGGAAAATACGAGTTTAAACTCAACAATAAATTCCCTCACAGGATCATTAAAACATTGTTGCAATGATGCAACTTTAATTGTGTTTGAAACAATTAGATCATTAGTTTAACTCTTAACCCTTTCAGTGGTCATCACACAGAACAGTATCACTGAGGCCAGGGTTCCCTTATGTAGTTCTATGTCATGAGCTCAGCTCTCAGATAAGCTGAGTGGTAAATTTTGACCTAGAGAAGAGAGAATGGGTATGTGTGGTGAGTGTACACAATATTTATTTATTTATTTATTTATTTATTTAGTAATTTTAGCATACATACAGAGGTACAAAAAAATACAGGTAAGAGCAGCATGCCAAAGCCACTTATATGCATAGCATTACGGGCTGGCTTAAAATTAACTTAAGATTAACTAAGCAATGATGAAATCAGTGATAAAACATTATTGTAAACAGATAACTATAAAGCACAAATGAGTATTACAAAGACAGGTCATATGGTTGCATGCATTGCTGTACATTCAGTCGAATGGAGTATTCTGTTAGGTAGTGTATTTAAAAAAATAACAAAGTTAGATTGGGTCCTAGGTTTAAAATTTGTGTGATATAATTGTGAGTAACATATAGGATATACAATTTATAAGGTTCAGTTATTCAGTATTTATTTGGTTTTGAGTGAATAAGTGATCTTTGAGAAGAGACTTGAATTTATAAACAGGTAGTGTTTCTTTTATATTTACAGGTAATGAATTCCACATTTTAGGGCCTTTTATGTGCATTGAGTTTTTGCATAGCATGAGATGGACACGAGGAACATCAAAGAGTGATCTGTGCCTTGTGTTATGGTCATGTGTTCTGTTGAGGTTGGCAAGGAGATGTTTGAGGGGAGGGTTAATATCAGAGTTAAGTGTTCTATGTATGTAATAGGTGCAGTAATAAGTATGGATGTTTTGTATGGTGAGTAGGTTGAGTGTTTTGAATATAAAAAAAAATCCTGCCCCATGCTGTACATGATAGGAAAAGCAAAACTCTGACCCTGTATATAGTGTAAAATAGCAATTTTAAGGGGTTTTCTCATGTTTTAATGGTTTTATTGGATATTTCTTGGTATCATTTGATAGAATGGAAGATATATTATTGAAACAATTTTTGGTTGGTTTCAGGACCAGAAATAGCTTGAAATTAAGCTCAAAGTAGCAGAAATATTTGACTTTCACCTATTTTCAGGTACACGTACACATAAATACAGTTACATAAATTATCATACATAGAAGCATATATGTCAATTACTTAGGATAACCCAAAAAAGTTGAAGTGAATTATTTCCATTGGGGTCCTGGACAAAAACCCAATAGGCAGGTTTCAAAGATGAATTTGACATAATATACTATATCATGAATCATATTAGGGTAAGTTTGCTTTTTAACAACAGCTTTGAAGCAGTTGGCAGATAGGGAACCTCTGAAATTGTTTGGTAAAGGGTTCTAGATTTTGGGACCTTTTATGCAAATCGAGCTTTTACTCAAGTTGAAAGCACAGGACATCAAAGAGATAACTGTATAGTGTATCATGCTTCACAAGGACCCCAGTAGAAATAAGTCACTTAGGTAATCTACACGTGTTGCTATGTATGATAATTTATGTAACTATATTTATATGTACCTATGCCTGAATAAACTTACTTATTTGCATGCAAGTTCTGTTGCAGCTCTCAAGAAAGAGTTTCAGAGCAGGGATTATATTTGTATTGACTGTCCTGTACATATAGTATGCACAGTAGTAAGAATGAATGTTTTGCATATTAAGTTTAAACTTCTGAAGAGAGAGGGTGAGTATTAAACAGCACCAACTTAAGAGCATTCATACAACAGTTATTACTGGCTTTAGGTGATTTTCTGTAGTGGATCCCAGGTGCATATACCACAGATATATAAGTTTATTTAGGTACAATTACACAAGTTTAGATGATTAAAATTACTATTCAAATTCAAAATTCAAATCCATTTATTTCTTTGCAAGTAGTACATTGAGATTATATTTTTACAATGATGGGTTGCAGTGCAGAGAGCCTCTATTATGTCTTGCCATTATGGGCTGACTTAATTTAATGGCATACTGACTACTTATCACTAAAGAAATTATCATAATTGTAGAGTAGTTCTATTAATAATAAGCGAATATAATGTATAACAAACCAAAGGATATATTCATGTATTCAAAAATGTTTTTCATGAAACATGATTCAGTAGTTTTCAGTAGTTTACAGTATGAGACTGCTACAATTTGGTGAAGGGTAATATTGGTTTTGGTAGGTATGTATACTTCTATATGGAAATTTGTCAATATATGAGCTTGGTTGTCTAGTTATGAAGTTTTAAGATTTAGGTAATTGGTAGATTTATTAGTAGTGTTAAATATTGAGTATTTAGTCTAGGGTGATTAACCCTTTGACTGTTTTGGTCGTATATATACATCTTACGAGCCAGTGTTTCAGATGTATTAATACGCATAAATTCCAGCGGCTTCAAATCAAGCAGGAGAAAGCTGATAGGCCCACATGTGAGAGAATGGGTCTGTGTGGTCAGTGTGCACCACATAAAAAAAATCCTGCAGCACGCAGTGCATAATGAGAAAATAAAAAAACTGACCGTTTTTTTGGATTAAAACGCCGACTTTGAGTGTATTTTGTATAGTATTTATCATTGTATTCTCGTTTTCATGGTCTCACGTGATAAAATGGAAAACATATTACAGAAGTAGATGATTTTGATTAGTTTCACAACGAAAACAACCTTGAAACTGAGCTCAAAGTAGCGGAAATGTTCGATTTTTACCAATGTTCAGGAATAAGCAAATCACACCACACGTCCAATATACGTCAACTGGGGAGTCTAACATTCTTTCACTAGTGCACTGATATTATTTATACCATTTTTACAATAATGCAGTAGACTGCATAACAGTAAATTTTGGATTTTTTGAATGAATAAAAAATCAAAACAGAAAGCAATAGTAATACAGTGGACCCTTGCCTATCGAACGCATCGCATAACATTAAATCCGCCTTGCGATACACTTTAACGCAAAAATTTTGCCTCGGCTAGCGCTAAAAAACTCGCTCAACGCAATTCGTTTGAGACGCGTCCACGTGCAGCCTGAGCCCACCTCACTTGTTCCGTGGGTGCCAGTGTTTACAAGCCAGCCACCGCGGTCACTTCCAAGCATACAATTGGAGCATTTCATATCATCACAGCCTTTTTAGTGATTGCACCTGCAAAATAAGTCAGCATGGGCCCCAAGAAAGCTTCTAGTGCCAACCCTACAGGAAAAAGGGTGAGAATTACTATGGATATGAAGAAAGAGATCATTGCTAAGTATGAAAGTGGAGTGCGTGTCTCCAAGCTGGCCAGGTTGTACACAAAACCCCAATCAACCATCGCTACTATTGTGGCCAAGAAAACGGCAATCAAGGAAGCTGTTCTTGCCAAAGGTGCAAATTTGTTTTCGAAACAGAGATCACAAGTGATAGAAGATGTTGAGAGACTGTTATTGGGGTGGATAAATAAAAAACAGATAGCAGGAGATAGCATCTCTCAAGCGATCATATGTAAAAAGGCTAGGAAGTTGCATGAGGGTTTAATTAGAAAAATGCCTGCAACTAGTGGTGATGTGAGTGAATTTAAGGCCAGCAAAGGTTGGTTTGAGAGATTTAAGAATCGTAGTGGCATACATAGTGTGATAAGGCATGGTGAGGCTGCCAGTTCGGACCACAAAGCGGCTGAAAAATATGTGCAGGAATTCAAGGAGTACATAGACAGTGAAGGACTGAAACCTGAACAAGTGTTTAATTGTGACTAAACAGGCCTGTTTTGGAAGAAAATGCCAAGCAGGACCTACATTACTCAGGAGGAAAAGGCACTCCCAGGACATAAGCCTATGAAAGACAGGCTTACTCTGTTGATGTGTGCAAATGCAAGTGGTGACTGCAAAGTGAAACCTTTATTGGTGTATCACTGAAACTCCCAGAGTGTTCAGGAAAAACAATGTCCTCAAGGCTAATTTGTGTGTGCTGTGGAGGGCAAACAGTAAGGCATGGGTCACTTGGGACTTTTTCTATGACTGGTTACACCATACATTTGTCCCCACTGTGAAAAATTACCTCCTGGAAAATAAATTGGACCTTAAGTGCCTCCTGGTATTAGACAATGCTCCTGGTCATCCTTCAGACGTGGCAGAGCGACTTTCTGAGGAAATGAGCTTCATTAAGGTCAAGTTTTTGCCTCCTAATACCACTTCTCTCCTGCAGCCTATGGACCAGCAGGTCATTGCAAACTTCAAAAAACTCTACACAAAAGCTATGTTTGAAAGGTGCTTTGTAGTGACCTCAGAAACTCAATTGACTCTAAGAGAGTTTTGGAAAGATCACTTTAGCATCCTCAATTGTGTAAACATTATAGGTAAGGCTTGGGAGGAAGTGACTAAGAGGACCTTAACTCTGCTTGGAAGAAACTGTGGCCAGAATGTGTAGACAAAAGGGATTTTGAAGGGTTTGAGGCTAACCCTGGGAATCCTATGCCAGTTGAGGAATCCATTGTGGCATTGGGGAAGTCCTTGGGGTTGGAGGTTAGTGGGGAGGATGTGGAAGAGTTGGTGGAGGAGGGCAATGACGAATTAACCACTGATGAACTGCTAGATCATCTTCAACAGCAAGAGGCCAGACCTGAGGAAACTGCTCCGGAGGAGGGGATAGAGAAATTGAAGAAGTTGTCTACTTCAAAGATTAAGGAAATGTGTGCAATGTGGCTTAAAGTGCAAACCTTTTTTGATGAAAATCACCCTCACACAGCTATTGCAAGCCGTGCTGGTGACTATTACACTGACAATGTTGTGAAACACTTTAGGAATGTCATAAAGGAATGGGAGGTACAGGCCTCTATGGACAGATATGTTGTGCGACAGAGGTCCAGTGACTCTCAAGCTGGTCCTAGTGGCATTAAAAGAAGAAGGGAAGTAACCCCAGAAAAGGACTTGACACTTCAAGTCCTAATGGAAGGGGATTCCCCTTCTAAACATTAACACCATCCACACTCTCCCCTCCTCCCATCCCATCAATCATCACCAGATCTTCAATAAAGGTAAGTGTCACGTAACTGTGCATGTTTTCTTCAGTTTGTGTGTATTAAAATTAATATTTCATGTGGTAAAAAAAAAAAATTTTTCATACTTTGGGGTGTCAGGAACGGATTAATTTGATTTCCATTATTTCTTATGGGGAAAATTAATTCGGCTAATGATAATTTCGCCTAACGTTGAGCTCTCAGGAACGGATTAATATTGTTAGGCAAGGGTCCACTGTATAAGAGGGGCCTAGAGATGTGACTAATGAACAGAGAATATGTTATTTTAGTGCCAAGTATGTCTACATTCTTTATTCTGGACCCTATTTTGAAACTGGCATCTTTTTTAATTTGGGTGAAATTGGCCAAATTGCCAATTTCTGACCACTTTATTGGGTACTTCAAATCGGCAAATGGGCGGTTTCTTGCACTCAATTGATAGAAAAAATGGAGTTCTAAAGAAATAGCTATGAGTTTGGTCAACTGGAACAACGAAATTGGCCAAAAACAGGGCTCAAAGTCGGCGAAATCGCCGATGCGTATATGTCGCCAAGACCACTAACTTCGCGGGAGCGTAATTCCATGAGTTTTCGACCAAATTTCGTACTTTTGGTGTCATTACCATCGAGAAAAGATTCTCTATCATTTCATAAGAAAAAATTTTTTTTTTTTTTTTCTGAAATTTTGCGACAGAATGACAGTTTCAGAAAGGGGTTTGCGACAGTCAAGGTGTTAAGTGACTTTTGAGAAGAGTCTTAAACTGGTTTTCAGACTGGGTTACTTTGGTATTTTCTGGTAATGAATTGTAAATTTTGGGGCCCTTTATGTGCAGAGTTTTTACACAGTGTGATATGGACACGGGGTACATCAAAAAGAGATCTGCGTCTTGTGTTATTGTCGTGTGTCCTGTTTAGATTGGTGAGGAAAAGTTTGAGTGGAGGGTTTATGTTTGCATGTATTGTTCTATGTATTTAGTAGGCACATGAATAAGTATGGATGTTCTTAATGGTGAGCAGATTTAGACTTCTGAATATTGGTGGAGTATGCTGGCAGGAGTGGGAATTTGTCATCATTCTGACTGCTGCCTTTTGCTGGGTTATTAGTGGTCTTAGGTGATTTAATGTTGTTGATCACCAGGCACAAATTCCATATGTGAGATAAGGGTAGATGAGTGAACGATACAGTGCAAGGAGAGCTGATTGTGGAACATAGTATCATATCTTTGATAGTATGTCTACAGTCTTAGAGATTTTCTTGGTTTTTTGTTGCATATGTGTCTGGAACCTGAGGCGACTGTCAAGGTGGATTCCTAAGAATGTTCCCTCTGTGAGTTTTGTGACTGATGATCCGTTTAGCGTTATGTTAAGTGGAACATTTGCAGCTTTGCTTCCAAACTGAATGAAGTAGCTTTTATCAGTATTCAGTGTAAGTTTATTAGTCATCATCATCACCGCAGATATTTTCTGCAATTCGGCATTGACTGTGTTGGCGAGTATGACTGGGTTTGGGTGAGAGAAGACATATGTAGTGTCATATGCAAATGATATGGGTTTGAGAAGCTGTGATGCATTCAGTAGGTCACTGATGTAGATGAGAAAGAGGAGTGGTCCAAGGACGCTTCCCTGTGGGACTCCGACTGTGGTTTATACATATGTATAAATTACCTAGGATAACCCAAAGAAGTCTAAGTGACTTCTTTGGGTTATCCTAGTAACAAATCTTAAAAAGAATGTCCTCTATTTTGGAGACCATAGATATATGTTGGATGAGTGTTCTTAGTGAGTAAAGTAAAGCAAAGTAAATTCAAATTCAAAGTTTATTCTCTATAAGGATTACAATGCTGAGTTTACAGAATTTGGTTATTGTGTGGTTTACATGTAGTAAAATAATGATTACAGAGTGTACCACTAGAACACCTAGCATGGCTAGGCATTTCGGGCAGACTTAGTTTAATTCTTAATTTTAAAATATTACAAATTATGAGGTAAGTTGGTATTATGGCTAAGTGATTAAATACTAGTTTGTGAGTTTAGCAATGTGAATGCTTTTGTTTAGGCACAATACATAGTTTCAGTATTGGAGTATCACAGGCCAACTTATGACTAGTTAGGATTCATTATTTTATGATTGAGATTAATATTTCTGTTTATGGTCAAATGAGTGAGTGAGTGTAAGTGTGAACCACCAGGTGGTATTCGTGTAGTTAGTTGACGGGGTGTATCAGGGAGATAAGATGTTTTCTAATGGTAGTTTTGAAGGTGATGAATGTGTCTGCAGTTCTATTTGTTGGATGAGTGTTATTAACTGAGTATTATTAACAAGTGAAGTGGTTATTTAGGCACAGATACACATAAGTGCAATTATCGTACCTAATAACACGTGTAAATTATCCAGGATAATCCCAAAAGAATCAATGCATTGAATTTTAAATTACTGTCAAGGTGTAGACGTAAACCTTGTAAGTTTACTAGTCACGGGTACACTAGTATAATTATTGTACGTTGTATAAATTACCTTTGATAATCAAAAATATACCATTTTTTTATAATGGTGTTGTGGGCACACACACGTTATGGGCACATAAAGTAAATTATGTAAATTAACGTAATTAACTCATAAAAGACAAATAATAAGACATTTAAATGGAGACTTTATTTCACCCCATTTACGTGACAACCAGCCATTATTACCACTGTTAGTTAAGAAAAGACTAACTAACCTTGCAGCAATGTTACAATAGAATAAAATATAGACTTATGGATTCTTCTTATTGGTGAGATATGTGAGGTTTCCTGGAGGTTCTCCTCCCTATGGCTGCACCACATGTATTATCACTCTCATTGTCTTGCCTCACTGATATACACACTGATATACACAGTGGGATGGTGGTATACACACAGTGGGATGGTGGTGTTGCTCTAGATAAGACTTAGGGCTTCACGAGTTGTTTGTTGACATTGTATAACAATGGCGCCCAAGGAACATGAATCGCTCATCACCATTGGAGTAAACATGGCGAATATTGTCACGTGACTCACACGTCATAACCCGCTAAACTTAAACACCGGTAGCAGCAAGGACACTCTTATATGTGGCTGTAGGGCTCGAGCTTCAGCTCCTGGCCCCTTATCAGTAGGTGAGTACGTACTTCAGTGAGTGAGTAAGAGAAGAAATTAGTACGTGAAGGAGCGAGATAGAGTGAGCAGGTGAATAAGGGAGGGAGGGAGCGAATCCGCCTTCTTCCAGTTATATTGGAATAAAATTAGAGATAAAATATGCCCACTAAAATGTAACTCATGTCAGCTTACTATAAGTATAGTCAGTTCTCTCTTGCAAAACTATTCCATACATTGCTTTTTATTGTGCAAATGCAGATGGAAAAGTCAATCCAAAATTGAATAGCACATTCTATGAAAGTCATTCCTTCCACGGAGGCCCATGGCCTGGTGACAAAAGCTGAGGGTCTAGGTTCGATTCCCGGCAAGAGAAAAAACATTGGACGTGTTTCCTTACACCGGCTGTCCATGTTCATCCATCAGTAAAGTGGGTACCTGGGTGTTAGTCGACTGGTGTGGGTCGCATCCCAGAACAAAATTGACCTAAATTGCCTGAAATGGTCTGCATAACAAGGTGCTTTCTATGTAGTAGTATGTCACTGATGTCAGCTAGGACTGTATACCTTGTACATGTACTTGTAGAAAAAACTATTATATTATTACTATATACTTTCAATTTTCAATCCACTTTTCCTGTCACATTTATTAAAAAATCCCACTATTTAAAGGAGTGTTATAACAGAACTCATTGTAACAAAGAAATGTGTATCATTTTCATCACTTATCTTTTCTCTGTACACAAGAGGACACAAATAAAATCCCAGAAATCAATATAATTATAATGGTCAAGACGAAAATAAATTACGCAATATCATTAAGTACCCTGATACACCACGAGGCCTGGTCTCAGACCGGGCCACGGGGGCGTTGACCCCCGAATTACTCTCCAGGTATACTCCAGGTATACTCCAGGTATACTCCAGTGACATGGTCCTCATACATGTAGATATAATGAAGCCGAATAGGTCATCAGGCCCTGATGAACTGTTTTCAAGAATTCTTAAGAAATATAAGGAGGAATTTAAGAACATAAGAACATAAGAAAGAAATAACACTGCAGCAGGCCTAATGACTCATGAGAAGCAGGTCCATGTCACCCCCAGGCTTAGACCAATGACCCAACTAGTCAGGTCATTTCCACTTAAGGAAGGAGCACGGCATCAGACCTAGTAGCACAAGCTAGTCAGGTCCAGCTCACACCCACCCACACCCACTCATGTATTTATGTAACCTATTTTTAAAACTACACAATGCCTTAGCTTTGTGGCAGGGTGGGGACGTTAACAATGTATAGGAGTGAGACTGATTCATTACCTTTGTAACTTGCCATGATTGTGACCAGATCTACTTGGAGTTCATTATCTTTGTAACTAGTTCAGCTATTATAACTTTGGGGTCCAGTTCTTGGACCCATTACGTACCTCTGTAATTTTTTGACTACCGCCCACAGGGTGGGTATGGTGTGACTACCGCCCACAGGATGGGTATGGTGTGGCTACTGCCCACAGGATGGGTATAGTGTGGCTACCACCCACAGGATGGGTATGGTGTGGCTACTGCCCACAGGATGGGTATAGTGTGGCTACCACCCACAGGATGGGTATGGTGTGGCTACCGCCCACAGGATGGGTATGGTGTGGCTACCGCCCACAGGATGGGTATGGTGTGGCTACCGCCCACAGGATGAGTATGGTGTGGCTACTGCCCACAGGATAGGTATAGTGTGGCTACCACCCACAGGATGGGTATGGTGTGGCTACTGCCCACAGGATGGGTATAGTGTGGCTACCACCCACAGGATGGATATGGTGTGGGTACCGCCCACAGGATGAGTATGGTGTGGCTACCGCCAACAGGATGGGTATGGTGTGGCTACTGCCCACAGGATGGGTATAGTGTGGCTACCACCCACAGGATGGATATGGTGTGGCTACCGCCCACAGGATGGGTATGGTGTGGCTAGCCACAGCCACTCAAGAGGGAGGGGTTTTTTAGTGCCAGGAAGGAAAAAAACCTGGCAAGAAATGGCGGAAATCGTACGCCAAATCCAGTCATTTCTGGAGTGGAATCACAGTCGATGGCCTCCACTCCAAACAAACAGATACAGATACTAGTGCCGGAAAAAAAATCCCCCCCCCCAGTACCAACAATACCACCAGTCCGATGACATTCTTCTTTGCAAATATACAGGGTCTAAAGCCAGCAACGAACAACAAAATACCTTTCATCTGTGGACTGCTTGCAGAGGCATGTGCAATGTTCGCGGCTTTCACAGAGACCCACATAAAGGATCACATGGACAGCGAAATATGGATCCCAGGTTACAACCTATACAGACGCGACAATGTGAACAGGCAAAAGGGCGGGGGGGTTGGCCTGTATATCGCAGAGTCACTTGTTTGCACAGAACTGCTTAATGCCTCAAATGATGTAGTGGAAGTTTTAGCAGTAAAGATCGAGAACCAAAACCTAGTCATTGTGGTAGTCTACAAGCCTCCGGATGAAACGTCCCAGCAATTCCAGGAAAAGCTGTCAAAAATTGACCACTGACTGGAAAATCTGCCAGCTCCTGTCCCGAACATCTTGGGGATTTCAACTTGAGGCACCTAAAATGGAGGAATATAGCAAATAATGTTGTTGCAGTGATAACACCAGGAGGCAGCGGTGACGAGAACTCACACACACGCAAGAGCTTTTAAATCTCTGCACAAAATTCAACTTAAACCAGCAAATAATAGAGCCTACTAGACTGGAGAATACACTAGACCTCATCTTCACTAACAATGATGATCTGATACGAAATGTCACCATATCAAAAACAATATACTCAGATCACAACATAATCGACGTTCAGACATGTATGCGCGGAGCCCCAGACCGACAAAATGAGATTAGTCACGAGGGAGCCTTCACCAAATTCAACTTTAATAACAAGAACATAAAGTGGGACCAAGTAAATCAAGTCCTAAACGATATAAGCTGGGAAGATGGACTAAGCAACACAGACACCAACTTATGCCTAGAACAGATTAACTCGGTGGCACCCGATGTATGCTCAAGGCTTATTCCTTTAAGAAAAAGGGGGAGTAGATGTAAAATAGAAAGAGACAGGCGCTCCCTTTACAGGCGATGGAAAAGAATAACAGAGCGGCTGAAAGAGGCCAATATATCCGAAATGCGTAGGGAATCACTGGTCAGAGAAATAGCAAACATCGAACTTAAGCTAAAGGAATCTTAGAGGAGTCAGGAATCACGGGAAAAACTAAAAGCCATAAATGAAATCGAAAGAAACCCAAAGTATTTCTTTTTATATGCCAAATCAAAGTCGAGAACAACATCAAGTATTGGGTCCCTACTTAAACAAGATGGGTCCTACACAGATGACAGCAAGGAAATGAGTGAGCTACTCAAGTCCCAATATGACTCAGTTTTTAGCAAGCCGCTAACCAGACTGAGAGTCGAAGATCAAAATGATTTTTTTATGAGAGAGCCACAGAATTTGGTTAACACAAGCCTATCTGATATTATCCTGACGCCAAATGACTTCGAACAGGCGATAAATGACATGCCCATGCACTCTGCCCCAGGGCCAGACTCATGGAATTAATAAATAAATAAATAAAAAAAAAAGAACTGCAGGAAGCCCCTATCACGAGCTTTTACCATCCTATGGAGAGGGAGCATGGATACGGTGGTCGTCCCACAGTTACCAAAAACAACAGACATAGCCCCACTCCACAAAGGGGGCAGTAAAGCAATAGCAAAGAACTACAGACCGACAGCACTAACATCCCATATCATAAAAATCTTTGAAAGGGTCCTAAGAAGCAAGATCACCACCCATCTAGATACCCATCAATTACACAGCCCAGGGCAGCATGGGTTTAAAGCAGGTCGCTCCTGTCTGTCTCAGCTACTGGATCACTACGACAAGGTCCTTGATGCACTGGAAGACAAAAAGAATGCAGATGTAATATATACAGATTTTGCAAAAACCTTCGACAAGTGTGACCATGGCGTAATAGCACACAAAATGCGTTCTAAAGGAATAACAGGAAAAGTTGGTAGATGGATCTATAATTTCCTCACAAACAGAACACAAAGAGTAGTAGTCAACAGAGTAAAGTCTGAGGCGGCTACGGTGAAAAGCTCTGTTCCACAAGGCACAGTACTCGCTCTCATCTTGTTTCCCATCCTTATATCTGACATAGACAAGGATGTCCCCCACGCACCCGTGTTTTCCTTTTGGGCAGATGACCCCAAAATTCGCATAAACATTTTTTTCCCATTGCAGACACTGAAAGGGCTCCAGGGGGAATTTCAACCAAATTTTTCCCAGGGGGCTGCAGAAAAAAATTTAAAGGGTTCAAACGAGGGAAAATTTCAATTACCCCAAATTTTGGAAAACATGGGGAAAATTTAAAACTTCATCGGTACAAAAAAAAATTTCTGACCCAAAAAGAGCCAAAAAAACCAAACGTAAAGACCTGGGAGGATCATGTCAGAAAATCTCACCTTCAAGGCCCCAAAAACATTTTTATAAAATTCCCATCTGCAAATTGGGTTTGAAACAACAACTTGAGCCCACGAGGAAAAACTTACAGAGGTTAAAAATTTGGAGTACATCAACCCAAAATTTTTAAAAACCCCCAAAATAAAAATGGTGTGGTGATGATAAAACAAACTAAATGTTTGGGCAGTGGTTTTTTTAAAAATTAAAAAAAAACGATGAATCTTGAAAAGGGTGTTTAAAAACACAGTAAAGGGATGAAAAGGGCATGAAGACCATCATGAAGTAAAACCCTGATGAGTGTATGTTATTGATGGGTACTGAGTGGGGGAAAAGGCCCCGGTTTTTGGGTAATGGGAAAGTATAA